GTGGCAGCGCTGCCCTCGCCTGCAGTGGCACATGAGGCGGCAGCCCGAGAGCTCGGGCAAGCAGGCCAGCAGATCGGGCGAGTCGCGCAGGTGACTCTCGTAGTTCGCGATGGCCTCGCTCCTCGGCATCATCTTCGTCACCTTGAAGGGGTTCGCCCATTTGGAGGGGGAGAAGCCGTACCGCTGCCCTGTGCGACCGATGTACACCTGTGGGCGCTCGTCGCTGTAGGATCGGCCCAGCTCGCCTCGCACCGGCGGCCTCGCCTCGCCCTGAGAGACCACTGAGCCCCTCTCGCGATGTGGAGGAAGAGGAAGGTCACGCCGCAATTCACGATCCTCAGGCAGCGGATGCACTCCTTCCAGCCACTCACGAAGCAACCGCCGGTGGATGTGCTGGATGATGCCTGTCGCCGACACCCAGCCCATCGGGATCACGGCCGCGGCCACGTGCACCTCGCCGGTCCCGTCGAGACCGATGCAGGACCTGCTCACCTTCTTGGAGAGCGCCATGTACTTGTGCCACACCGCGGGCAACCGGTAAACGTAGAAGCAGCACTTGAGGTCCTCCGACGAGCTCATCATCACTTCGCCGCTCCTCAAGATGATGCTCTTCCACTTGTCGGTCGTCGGGAGGAGACCCATGTCCCCCTTGACCGTCTCCTGCATCCAGTTGCTCGGGATGATGTTCATCACCAGCCGCTGCGGCCCCGAGCCTTTGGCGTGTCCAGACTTTCGCACACCAAAGAGGCCGCCCAGCACGCGACGGCCCTTCACCTTCACGATCTCGTCGGCCTCGATCGGGACGAGGATGCCCCTGTTCACGAGCTCGGCCGCGATGAGCTCCCACTCGTCGTCCTCGGCCCAGACGCGCGGGGTCTTGGGCATCTCGCCCAGCTCCGCGGGGCTCTTCATCACCCACTCCGGGTGCTCCAGCACGCTCCTTATCCATCCTTCGCTCACCTCGGTCGCCAACACCGAGCCGCAAGCCTCCTTCGGCGGCAGGGCGAGCAAGAGGCGCTCGCGGTCCAGCTGCTCGGCTGGGTACACCTCCATGCCCGTGTAGCTCACTGCTGACGACTTCAGCTCCTGGGCCCAGTCGAGGTTCGCCACGGAGCCCTCGTACTGGCACAAAAACGTGCCCACACTCCTGGCCAGCAACCTCAGGGCCTTCAGCTGCACCGCGCTGGCGGGCCCGTGCATCACCTTCCAGGGGGCCGTCTTGAAACCCGGGTGCTTGCCCCCCAGCGCGTACTGGAAGTTCAGGCTCAGGACGGTGAGCTTCAGCCAGCCGTTCAGGTCATCTTCGAAGGAGGGGTCGACTGGCTTCGATTCGCCGAACACGACGCCGTTCATGCTCAACTCCTCGATCGTCAGATCGACGCAGGGCAACGGCAGCAAGTCGCGCCGTCCGTTCCCTGCGGTCAGTGGTGAGAGGATATCATCGTACGATTTCGCATCAAAATTGCCAAGTGCCCCGCTCGACGCGGGCGAAGAAGCACTGAGATCAGCTAGACGGCG